ATTCTGGAAGTTGAAGTCCACTCATCTTAAAGTGGCCAAGTTTGGACAACACTGCTCTAGTCCCTGGAGCCAACCTCACAATGCAAAATAGTACTAAAAATTATGGATTTTTCAGCCTGGGTGGTGTGTTAAACGGGTGGGTTAAACTGCAAACTGTGATATTCTTGGTGTTAAAAGAACCCCAAACCCCTGAGAAGGGGGGGAGGGAGCCCCCCTCTTCCAGCCCAATTGCAATTCATGAGTGACCTGTCATCAGCCAGTTCTCCTGAGAGGGGGGAAAATGCAGCCCTGGAGGAAAAAAAAAATATCGCTGTCCTTGATTTGCAGAAACAGGATGCAAACGACGGTTTTCTCCAATCCAGATGTCTGTTTAGAACAGGAGTATTCCTCTGACCTCATCCCCAAAGTGAGTTCCAAATGCAGACCAAAAGGGAGACAACTATGAAAGTCAGGAGCATGGAATAATCCTAGGAACCGTATTTAACGGCGTGCAAAGGCCAACAAAACCAGGTTCAGCTTTCGTCGTCCAGAGACCAACAGCTACTTTTGGGCACCCCAGGTGGGGTTAAGCTCTAACCGAAAAACCTATCTGGGGATTCCTCCGTTTAAAAGAAAGATCCTTAAACGGTGATCGTTCCAGCCCAATTTGTCTTCTTTTGCAATCTGCAGCTGTCAGAGCAAGCGGGGAATTCTCGGAAGACCCCAGAGACCCTCTTAACACCGACCTGAGAATACCCATCACCCAATTTGGCCGGGTCTCTCAATGCAAAACGAGATGGCTATTTTGCACACCCAGATTGAGTCCAGCTGGACCGGAGGAAAAGAAAAAAGGATACTCAGTTGGATTAGGGGGGTTCCCAGCTGGAAGTCGGAACCCCCCCCCAATCCAAGGGGGAGCGCAACAACTTGATGCAACGGCTTGATTTTATGAAACGGCACGTTAAAAAAAAAGAAAAGAAAAAAACTAGCGAAGCGTGCTGCTTGCGTAACGACCCTGCTGCCTTCTGCCCCAAACTTAGCAGCGAAGGAGAGTTAGAGGTGGATGTTCGCAAGGATTTAGGAAAAGAAGGGCCTGGCTAGGCTGGAAGACAGAGTAAGCTTGACTTTGCCGCAGACGGTGAGTACCCCCTTAGTCACCCGATGTGACTAACAGCGAGTCTTGTCAATCTAGTTTTAGGCCCTGTAAATCTTTTCATAGCTACAGGACGGGCATATATAATTTCCTGCGTCTGCGATCCAGAGGGGAAGCCGGGAAGCACACACACATACGGGCTTATCCTGCCTCGGACGGGTCGCTCAAGTGCAAAAAAATAAGGAGAATATTAACTCGGCTCTGGATTTGGGAACAGCTGTGGAAGTCAGGGGAGGACTAGAGGAAGGGGGCCCCATCTGTGCTGCAGGCAGGAAAAAAGGCCCGTGGGCCTGCGTGGCATGCCCCTCCGAGTGTAAAATGAGGATGTTGGATCTCAGCGCAATTCAAAACTCTGCCTCGAAAAGAGCCAACGTGGCCAGCTACGTTAGATCTGTGTGCCTTAACTAGAAGGCGTTTCTTAACTCTGCAAGATTTATCGGGGTATTGCTGGCAGGAACTTTTAAGCACGTAGAGTCCTTGGTGCTCTCTGAGCTTGGGGGTTTGCTTGCAGACGTTTCATGACCCGACTAGGTAACATCACCTGGGCGAGGGAGGGTGCGGTTTTCTCCCTGTTGATATACAGTTGCTTGTCCTACCACTGTTGGTAGGGTGCGGTTTTCTCCTTGGTAGTTCTCCTTAGGGTATTACCTTATTATTATTAGGATAATACCCTAAGCAAGGAACTACCAAGGAGAAAATCACACCCCCACCAACACCAGCAGGGCAAGCAACTGTATTTCAGCAGGGAGCAAACCCCACACTCCCTCGCACAAATGATGTTGCCTAGTTGGGTCATGAAACGTCTGCAAGCCAGCCACCGAGTTCAGAGAGCACCAAGGACTCCACAGTTCAACCCTGAGCTACAGAGAGTCTTTTCTAGTGGAACTTTTAAGCATGTCCCTGAAATGCTGGCATCTAGAAAATGGGGGCTTGCCTTTACAGAAAGCTGAGATTTTTCAGAAAGCTGAATTCAGTTCTCCCACAAACTGGGAACGACAACTCCTCTTCCATCATCCATCGAGGAAAAGGTAAGCAGAAACCACTTCTGTATTGTAACCAAGAAGACTACCTGGACGGAGGGAGATCTGACTTTGCCACTGGCACAAACTGAGCTGGGAGGAAGGTTCAATCCTCTGGAGGCATGCAGCTTTTTGAAAACTTCTCCAGCTCCAGGGCCAACTGACGCTTATCTTAAAACCTCGCCTCCACCCTCATCTTTTCAAGCCCTTAAATTGTTTCCATGCATTGCAAAAAGAACCCAGGTGGGGGCAATTCCCACTCTGCCTTTTCCCTTCCAACAGCCCCTTGCTTGGCTCACAGACAAAGGCACTAGTGGGGAGATGCATGTACTCTTCTTCACGCAATGAGGACTAGCAGCCTCAAGCCCACCAAACAGGCCCCAACCCAAGACTTTTCATCTCCACTGGCTTCATGTCATTTCCTTGGTGGGGCCCTGCAACGCCCCGGAGATGGAAAAGGACGGTCTGTAACCTCAGCTTTGGATTCCCTCCCCACCCACTTGGGCTGCATGCAGTGTGAACACCTGAAGCCGGGAGTGTGCGGAAAGAGGAATATTTGGGTGACTCGGATCCTGGCCCAACAAGCTATGCAGGAAATTCCACCTTTCTGTTTGGAGGCTTGTCAGCATGGCAACAGGACGGGGTGCCATGCTTTCTTGCGCAGCAA